AGATTGACAAATTCTGAAAAACTTGAGGCTAGGTTCCTTGAATGTGGGGTTCTACCAAACTTGCAAGGAAGTCGGGAACACAGAAAAAAGAGTGCCCAACTTACTTAATAAAGATACCAGTACTCTGATACCAAAAACCTCATAAGGAGTGTGTACAAGATAAAAATTACAGACAAACCAGTTCTACTCATAAAGAGAGACAGAAGTCATACATAAAACAGTAGCAAACAGAATCTGGCAATATATAAAAAGACCACAACATTTAATTAGTTTAACACTAAAAACCAATGTAATTCTCCACTTCAACGTATGAAAGGGGAAAAACTATTGTTCTGTGGAAGTGTTAAAATTCAACATTGATTCTTTTTTACTTAAGAAGAAGCACATTTTATTTTTTATTTTATTTATTTGAGAGCAAGCGCATTCGTGCAGAAGCATGGGGTGGGGGCAGAGGGAGGAGAGAATCTTTTTTTTTTTTTAAGATTTTATTTATTTATTTATTTGACAGGGCTCAAGACACAGCGAGAGAGGGAACACAAGCAGGAGAAGCAGGTTTCCCACGGAGCAGGGAGCCCGATATAGGGCTGGATCCCAGGGCCCTGGGACCATGACCTGAGTCGAAGGCAGACGCTTAAGGACTGAGCCACCCAGGCGCCCCAAATTCAACATTGATTCCTGAAGAAACTTGCAGACCAACAGAAAATAGAGGGGAATTTCTCCAATCTGAATAAAGGGCATAAACAATGACAGAAATAAAACCTACCACAGAGAACTTATTTAACGGTCCAAGTCTGAAAGGATTCCTTCAGATTTGGGATGAGACAAGAATGTCCAAGACGGTCACCATTTTTATTCAACCAGTGCTGATTTTTTCTTTAGCCAGTGTGTTAAAAGAAAAAAAAAAAGGAAATAGAAAAGAACCACAATTTATTCTGTGTACACAGAAATCCAAAAGATTTACAGATTAAGAATTGCTACATTGAAAAAGTATCAAGAGATAAAATCAATTGCATTTGTTTTTATTTTTTAAATATTTTATTTATTTATTTGAGAGAGAGAGCACAAGATGGGGGGAGGTCAGAGGAGCTGAGCAGGGAGCACGATGTGGGACTCAATCCCAGGACCCCGGGATCATGACCTGAGCCGAAGGCAGTCGCTGAACCGACTGAGCCACCCAGGTGCCTCTGCATTTCTTTATATCAACAAATAAAAACAAAAAACAAAAGGAAATTTTATAACACCATTTTTTTAAAGATTTTATTTATTTATTTGACAGAGACACAGCGAGAGAGGGAACACAAGCAGGGGGAGTGGGAGAGGGAGAAGTAGGCTTCCTGCTGAGCAGGGAGCCCAACGTGGGACCTGATCCCAGGACCCTGGGATCACCACCCGAACCGAAGGCAGGCGCTTAACGACTGAGCCACCCATGCACCCCTATAATACTATTTTTTTAAATAAAGATTTTATTTATTTGAGAGAGAGAGAGCCAGAGAGGGAACACACGCAGGGGGAGTGGGAGAGGGAGAAGCAGGCCTCCTGCTGAGCGTGGAGCCCGATGCAGGGCTCGATCCCAGGACCCTGGGATCATGACCTGAGCTGAAGGCAGACACTTAACCGACTGAGCTACCCAGGTGCCCCTATACCATTTTTAATAGCTCCTTAAAATACTATGTATTTAGGAATAAATCTTTTTTTTAAAAGATTTATTTGACAGAGAGAGACAGCGAGAGAGGGAACACAAGCAGAGGGAGTGGGAGAGGGAGAAGCAGACTCCCCACATCCCAGGACCCCGGGACCATGACCTGAGCCGAAGGCAGACACCTAAGGACTGAGCCACCCAGGCGCCCCCAGGAATCAATCTTCTAACAAAAGATTTGTAAAACCACCACAAGGAACACAAGACCTTATGAAGAGGAGCTAAAGACCCTACCACAAACCACACACAAAAGGCAATTCAAGTATGTTACAGACGCACTTGTAGAAACACTAAAACTCAGAATACAGAATGGATTTTTACATGGATTATCGTCAACAAATTGATAAATTCAACTTTATTTTTTTATTTTTTAAAGATTTTATTTATTTATTTGAGAGAGAGAGAGAGAGAGCACATGAGAGGGGGAAGGGTCAGAGGGAGAAGCAGACTCCCCACCAAGCAGGGAGCCCGATGCGGGACTCGATCCCGGGACTCCAGGATCATGACCTGAGCCAAAGGCAGTCGCTTAACCAACTGAGCCACCCAGGCGCCCCTAAATTCAACTTTATTAAAATTAAGAACCTCTGTACATAAATCGAAAAGAAAAAGACCTCTCAGAAGATACAAAACCTAACTAGTGGCAAGCTCATACTTAATCACTTATAAAGAATTCCTAAAATGAAACAAAACAAGGCAGAAAGGGGTGCCTGGTTAGCTCTGTCAGTAGTGCATGCAACTCTTGATGCCGGGGCTGTGAGTTCAAGCCCCACGGTCGGTGTAGAGCCCACTTAAAGAGAGGTCTGGGGAAAACACACACACACACACACACACGCCCCACGGTCGGTGTAGAGCCCACTTAAAGAGAGGTCTGGGGAAAACACACACACACACACACGGCAGACAACCAAATAGGCGGGGAGAAGATAAGGGGTTGCTCCGTTCTAGATCAGTTCCTTTGGCTATTGTAAAAGTTGTACATACAACATGTGCGTAAAAGAAAAGATTTTAACAGGAACTTCACAAAAGACAAAAACGAACTGCCAATGAACACAAAAGGTGTTCAACCATCAGACTGGCAAGAAGTAAAGTGGTGGTGAGCACCAAAAACACTGGTAAGAATGTGAACAAGCACAACCCCTTTAGAAAAGAGATTGGCATTCATCTAGTAAAAATCAAAGATACACATGTCCTGCGATCCAGCAGTGATGGCCTTTTTTGGGCATGCAATGCCTAAAATAAAAATTAATTTGGAGAGAAAATACCTAAGCAAAGATGTATGGAAGTGTTACCACATCTTACAGCATTTCTTAGTTCTCTTAATTCACTGGGGGCTTTGGAGTCTTTAGAGAGCTGGAAAAAGAGTCTCAGTCAAGTTTCTCATCAGAGGGCTCACTAAAGTTCTGAAGTCGGGCCTGGATGAGGGGATGCAGATATTCCGGTCTTTAAGATACAGAGCTAGCTACTCCCAGCAGGGACAAAGAGGTACACGTGGTCTGTTCCCACAGATTCTGGCTGAACCAGTAAGGTCACCCCAATCTGGGAACCAATAATTTATCCATTCACACTCTCCTGCAGGTGAGGCCTGGGGTCACCCTGAACTTAAAATTCATCTAATGGATGCTCCTTGTCTTAAGTTAATACTATTAGTTTTTCCAAGTAGATATGCTTAGAGTGAGAACTTCAGCCTCACATGTATTTCTCACTGTAAATTTAAAAACTGGCATTTGAATTTATTAAAATAAACAACAAAAAGTAGAGAATGGTTAGTATCAGAAGTGCTATAAAGCCCAAGACAATGATTTTATGGCTGGGAACCTAAGACCATGGTAAGGTAAGTCCTATGACCAAAATAACCAGTATACCTAGGACCAGAAAACCAGGACTCCTACCTCCCAGGCTAGTCCCCCCTCCCCCCATCTCTGGCCTCTGGCCAGCCATCCACTCCCAGGGCAGCTCCCCCAACCCTACCAGTCCTGTTCTACATCTCCCGATGATTCTCCATGCCCAGGGAAACACGAAGAAGGTAGGAAAGGTCAGGAAGGGCCCATTAGGAAGGGCAGTCTAGTCATTAAAAAAAGAAAAAATCCAAGGCATGAAAGGGTATTTCATGATGCTGGCATGTCACACAACAGCAGCCAATCACTGTCTCCTTGAGGGCTGGAAGGTCTCAGAAGCAGAATCTTGGGTATCCCCCCGGGGCTGCAGGTCAGAGACTGAGTATCAGAGAAAACACGGGTTTCAGCCGCCATTCCTTGGGGGAGCCCAAGGAGCCAAGGATCCACTGTGGAGTCCACGTGAGCACAGGACAGAGTGGGGAAGGATCTGTGCCAACAGGTATGGGGGGGGGGCGTGCGCGGGTTGCACAGACACACAGCAGAACTAGTGGTTTTCATTCAAGACCAGAGTCTAAACCTCTAAATCTGTCAAGACAGTTCCCCATCATCGCCCTTCTTTTCTTTTAAAGTCTTGAAGCTTCTCAGCACAACCCTATTCTAAAACTGTAAGCATAATCAGAAGAAGCCAAGGACCAGCGGGCCCCAAGGCCACAGGGAGACTCCGTTACTACCAACCCCAGTCCTCAGCACCTGCCTCCTACTTGCTCCACTCCACGAACTGCACATCAGACCAAACAGTGCTCAAAAGGCATCCTAGAGAAGCAGCCGCACGCCCCCACATCCTGGAGCAGGTCTCCTTCCCCGAGGGCCACACGGGGCAAGTGTGCTCTTTGCCAGGGTCCACAGCTGGTGCCATGGGAAGAGGGCACAAGCAGCTTCCCAAGCCCCATCCTCCCTGGAGTCAAGCAGCGATGCAGGGTGCCTGCTTCCTCCGGCAGTGCTATGCAAGCAATTCTCGTCCCCACCAGCTGGGAGGGCGAAACTCACATTTCCTGGGCACCACTAGGTGCCAGGCACTCAAATCCAGGGTGACTTTTAACCCTCCCAATACCCTACTGGCACGGAGGGCATATCCCTGATATTCAGAGTGAATGAGGCTAAGAATTTGCCCGAGGTCACACAGCTGGTATAAAGTGCAGAACAGGGGACAACAGAGGTGGGGTCTCGGGGCTCCCCTCAGACAGCTTCTGTGCCAGCCGTGGAAAGGCCAGGGCCACACAGATTTACTGTCCACAGGTAACAAAGCCACAACAAAGGATTTTCCAGAAACACTTTCTATCTTGGGCTCTAGTCACTGAGTGCCTGAGTTTGTCGGCACAAACCATAACCTGTGACCAAGGCCTTCAGAAGCTGGTGCTGGCCAAGGGCCCAGAGCCAGGAAGGATCACCCGTCCCTCTCCGACACTTACCACGACAGAGTCATTGTGAGTCAGGTCAACGACCACAGGCTCTAACGATTCACAGGTGAGATCCACTATTTCATCTCCAGCTTTAAAATAAAGCATTTTGACAAGCATTAAGAAAAAAAAAAAGGCATACCGCTCTAAGCTTCATTAAATGATTACAAATGGAGCACAGGCTTATCCCAAACTAAAACCCCCTCAAAGTACAGAATGCAGAGCATCAGGTCCAATCCCTTTTTCAGGGGTGACCGAGTACCAGTGAATGCCCTTTCAGCATTCTGAGTGGCGGTATGTGGTTTTGACAACTACACCAAGGGGAGGGGATCACGTCTGTGTACACACACCTCTTCATCCCTGTGGCCACACATTGTCACACAACTAGGCCTCAGTGCCCCCACCTGCCCAGTACAGGGGAGAGGCAGAGACCTACCTGGGAGTGCTGGGGGACATCTGGGGAAAGGACCAGGCATGCTCACCTCAGGGCCTTTCTCTTTGGCATGGACCCGCCTTAAACCTCCTCCTCGAGGCTGCTGCTCTCCCACACACCTCGTCAGGCTCAGTTCTGCACCCTCATCAGTGAGATATTCATCTCCATGTGGCTCTCAAGCAGGACAACAAGGTGGTGTTTACTGATCCCTTAGACTCCCAGCACACCAGAATGGGCTGGGCCTGTTCTGTAGCTTGCCTTTGAGCCCTAGGATCCACTGTGGAGTCCACGTGAGCACAGGACAGAGTGGGGAAGGATCTGTGCCAACAGGTATCGGCACTTCTGTGTGGCAGGTAAGAATGAACCGCAGAGAACAATTTCCATTTATATTAACTAAAAAAAGATTTACCATCATTTTTGCTTTTATTATAGCACTAAAGAAGTGTAAGAGTAGGATTTTTAGAAGTGGTATTTGTTTGGAGACAGTAACTCAAAACATTTAGCGATTCAAATTTGCTTTATTTTCTTCTATTAAAAAGTCTCACAGGAGTAAAACCCACAATACATCAGAGATTGTAATTTATACAAAATGACCTCGTCCTTTTTAAAAAATAGCCCATATAATGATATACTCTAAGTCACAGAGCCGTTCTCGTTCTGGTGGACATAATTTCTGGCTCTCACAAACAAAAGCCATACTCCCACAGGCTGCGTGTGCACACAGTCCTGCACGCATGGTAAGGTGGCCTATGGGGAGGGAAGGGCTGTGCTGGACAGCAGTCAGGCCCGAGACCCCTCGCACGCCTCGTGTCCCGATCAAGGAGCCTCTCGCGCCAGCCTCTAGTGCAAGACGGCAGAATTCAGACGCCAGGGCGTCAAGTCTGGGGCAGAGGGGAGGGAACAGCAGGGCGGGCAGGGTATCAGCCTCTAGGCTTCTAAGAATTCACAGAAGTGAAATTCAGGAGCCACAGAGATGATACTGAGAACTTCACTTCTCTGAAGGGCCTATGAAATCTACCTCAAGACAAGCTCCTTCTCTCTACGTGTCAGTTTTCAGGCATCATAGTCATTAAAACAATCTCAGTACCTGCAAAGAGACTCAACTCAGGCCATTTGCCATCTCCCTCAGCAGGCAGAGGGGGAAAAAAATCAATCTGGCCTCTGCCTATAGCAACTCCCTCCAACACAGGTGGCTCTGTCCACAGATATGCCTTCTTGGGAAATGTTGTGTCTCAGTGAAAAAGAGAAAAGGAAAGCTTGAGTACTTCAGGAGGCCAAGTGAACTGGACATTCAGTTTCAAATCGAAAAGGTGGGCCCAGGGCGGTCTCACCTCCCCTGCTGCACATTCCCAGAAGGCTAAATGGTTAGCCATCCTGAGTGGCTGTCAAAACCCATGGAGGTCTTACACCACCAAAGAGGGAAGGTCTTGCTCAAGTCAGCTTTCAGTTTTGAGTGGTGGGTGAGTCCAAGACTGTGTAGGTCTTATAAAGACAAGGACAGAAGCTAACCTGTGTACCTAAGCGTTAGCTAACAGGCACTGAGCTAAATGTTGACCTTAATGACAACTCTACGCAGTGGTATTAGGACGATCCTATTTGGGAGGGTAATGGAGGCTCAGACAGGTGGTGTGGCTTGCACAAGGCCCCATAACTGGGAGGCGCCAGTGCTGGACTCACCCATGCATACTGCACCATGCCAGCACCCCATGGTCACAGCATTCCCGGGGATCTTACCACTTTCCACAAGTTCTATGGGTTCTGCTTCCAAGGCCATCTCAGGAGTAGAGGCTGCTTCCCGAGTTCGCTTCTGGGCTTGTCTAGAATTTACTGTGCCACCACGGCGCTTTCTCTGAGGATATCCAGGAGAAAGAAACAGTCAATGAGCCCCTGACTGATACAACTTCAACAAGAAGAATAAAAGGTAAACATGGGAATGGCTCAACTCATCAAAAAGAGTAGGGAGATCACGGGGTGCCTGGGCGGCTCAGTCAGTTAAGCGTCTGCCTTTGGCTCTGATTATGATCCCAGGGTCCTGGGATTGAGCCCCGCCTGAGGCTCCCTGATCAGCAGGGAGCCTGCTTCTCCCTCCCCCTCTTCCCCCAGCTTGTGTGCACACATGCGCACGCTCTCTCTCAAATAAATAAAAAACCTAAAGAGTAGAAAAAGTAAGAGACCAGAGAGCCAACCTGAGGTAATGGGTCCTTTCAAAACTCGACATTCTAGGAGCACCTGGGTGGTATAATCAGTTAAGCATCTGACTCCTGATTACGGCTCAGGTCATGATTTCAGGGTTGTGAGATTGAGCCCCGAGTTGGGCTCTGTGTTGAGCATGGAGCCTGCTTGAAATCCTCTCTCACTCTGCCCCTCCAACCTCTCTAAAAACAGTAACAAAAACAAAACTTGACATTCTAGAAATAATCCTAAACATAGAGTGAATACGAACTCTATAAAGCTAAACTTTGTTATATCAAACTATTAGTCTGTCAAAATTACCTGATATACAACTTTTTTTTTTTTAAGATTTTATTTATTTATTTATTTGACAGAGAGAGAGAGAGACAGCGAGAGAGGGAACACAAGCAGGGGGAGGGTCAGAGGGAGAAGCAGGCTTCCCGCCGAGCAGGGAGCCCGATGCGGGGCTCGATCCCAGGACCCCAAGATCATGACCTGAGCTGAAGGCAGTCGCTTAACCAACTGAGCCCCCCAGGCGCCCCCTGATATACAACTTTACAGAAGCCTCTGACCCAGGTCAGGACTTGGCCAGAAACCCCTCCTTTTCACCAAAAGTAGCAGACCTGTCCCTCCTTGGATCTGTATTCAGCCTCATTGAGGCCATTCTGTTGTTTCAACCCTAAGACCCTCAGTTTCCCACATTTCCATCCACTGTGGAAAGTGGGTCTTTTCTTTGGGAATTCATCAACCTTTAGGGTGCTAGTCAGTGCAGCTTATACCCGCACAATCATGGCCCTGAGCTCAAAGAACCAAACTTCCCAGTGGCTGCTCAGGAACCCTGCCTTCTGGAAGGCTCAGGCTCTCAGCTGGCGCTATCTGGAGTCCAAACTCCCCGAGCCAGCCATCTCCCCAGTCCTTGAGCGCTGGCTTCCCAGTATGCTCCAGCACTCCTGACCAGGCTTGGCCCTAAAACCCACGGTGAGAACACGCCCTGTACGGCCTTCCTCAAAACAGACCCAACCTCCCACCTGACCCTGTCACCTTGTTATTCCCACCCTGCATGGCCCCAGCCAATCCCGGCTCCCTGTGTTTCTGGTTCTCACTGCCACTGGGCCCAACTATGCTCTGAACTGGGTGAGCTGGGGTGGTGATTCCTCTACGGAGCCCAAACCCTCACCGCACCAGCCTTGCAGAGCTGGCATGCGGATGAGAGGGCACCGTGTATGCCAAGTACTGAGCACAGACACAGGATGCCAGCACAACCCTAACTCCTTGCACGCCTAGTCCGAAGCATTCTGTCCCTGGAAACTCTGGAAGGATGGACGCTGTTGGTGAGATGTGCACAAGACCGACGGATGCTGGCCAGGCAAGAGAGAGGTGCCTGACTCCTGCTGTATTCCACCCATGCCTCAGTAGCAAAAGGCAGCCTGGGGAGTGTCGGAAATTAAGATTTGGGTTTAGCAACTTTCCGTGAGTCTAAGGAACAGAGAACCATCTCCAGGAGGGCCTGGAGACAGGCGACCACAGTTGTTCGAAATTCTCCCGCCAGGAGCTGCTGTCTGTCTGTCAAGGGAGCTGCCACTCCAGCCTCAGCAGAGTCTACGGCCCAGTGTCTACCGGCTCCCCTCTGCCACCAGAAGACCTGGGCTACTTAAGTTTTCCCTGTTTCTCTCTGAAGTTTCTTCGTATTTTCCTTCCTCTGCAAAGGTCGAAATATTTCTTAGAGGAGATACTGCTGAACAGAACCCTTCATGCCCCACCACAGCCACCTGTATGGTTTCTGGTCCCCACTGAGGGGGCAAGCAGCAGCCACAGGCCCTGGCCAAAGTCGAGGTGCTGGACTCGGACACCATGGGCACTGCAGCAACATGTGCTCTCCCTGCTCACCTCTACCCTACACCCCAGAGCAATCCCCTTCCATGCCTGGACTACCCATTCCTCCCCTCCTCGTTTGGCCAATTCTTACACAGCTTTCAGAAACCTATGCAAATTTCACCTCCATTATGAGGCTATCCCCCTCACCCTCCCAGGTCGACCATCTCAGGATTCAGCACCCCCTCCCCTTTGAAGCCCTGCCCCCCCCCACATTCCCCAGAGGGCAAGGGGTAGGGGACTGCGAGCTCAGGGCCAGCCTCCAGAAACCCCAGAACACTGGCAGAGACTCTCCCCGCTGCCCTGTTACTCTCAGCGTGGCTGTCTCCCTTTGCACGAGCAGGAGAGGTTCACAGCCTTCAGTTCAAACTGACCACGTATGTTATTTACGTCATTCTGAGGAAGCTTAACCAACTTCTTCACACTCACATAAGCTACATTGCTCTGTCTAACCAGATCCTGCCTGGGCAAGGCGTGGGCTTCAGAGGGGAGGTGCCCAGGCTCAGGACATCTGTTTCCCTACAAGTGAGCTGCAGGGACAATCTGCAGATAAGGAGTCAGAGTGGGAAGTCACCTGCCTTTTAAAAGGGTAGGTCCAGGGAAACAAAGGCCCTTTTGTGTATAAATATCAACGGTGGGCTCTGAGCACTCTAGGGACTGGGAGTGGTCAGGACGAGGTGCAGCTGGGGGCAGGGAGTGGAATCTACAGGATTTCTACCACTGTTCAGTCTCACCCTGCCCGCACGCTCACAGAACCTCTGGAACCTGGGGAGAGACTATGACGCTGTCGTTTCCCAGCTGGTCCACCTGATACGAAGCCAGTATCTCAGAAAACAACTGTTTTGATTTTAGATCATATGAGCAATCTGGTCAGCAGGGAATAAACTAGGGAGGAACACCTTCAGGCAATCTTCTCTGGAGCTCAAGGGGCTCCAGGGGACACCTGGTTACACAGCACGGCCTCTGCAGTCTGATAAATGCTCTGAACAGACTTACCGACTTTGGTCACTGAGTGTAAGAAAACTCTCATGAAGGATCATTACCACTATGCTCATACTGGACCAAAAACTACACAGGGAAAGGAAAGAGAAGGGAAAATGGAACACTGGATTGTGAAGGATTAAATAAACCAGAGCCCTGGCATTTCCAGGACACGGACAGCTGCTCTGGGGATAGAAAATTTCCAAACCCGCAGGTATTACTGTTGTCTTCAGGACACCACCCAAAACACTGGACTCCTCCAGACAACTAAGTTGTGTAGCTGCCCTCAGTCCTGTACGCTTTTCCTTCGAGAACACGGGCTACTGAGAGGCACCTTTATGGTACTCTCGTTAATGTGCCATAAGAAATAAGGTAGTTGCTTAGCCTTGAAAATACAATTCATGAGGGGGCGCCTGGGTGGTGCGGTCGGTTAAACGTCTGACTTTGGCTCAGGCTGTGATCTCAGGGTCCTGGTATCGAGCCCCATGTCGGGCTCCCTGCTCAGCGCGGAGTTTGCTTGTCCCTCTGCCCCCTCAACCCCCACCTCGTGGGCACACTCTCACAAATAAATAAAACAACGAGATCTTTAGAAAGAAAATTCACGAGCTGATAAAACTCACAGTACTCATTGTGCTCTTTGACTCCACCCTACAGAGAAGGAAGGGACCTGTACGGAGGCTGGCAAGGAAGCTGAACGTTGACTGTTTTCAACTTCTCACATCCGCTGGGTACTCATCCTCTGGCTACCACAGCAATTTGCAGCCAAGTAGATTTCCAGTATCTTCAAGTCCTGAAAAACAAGGGTATCAAGGTGGTAACTGCTCCCACCTACATCATCAACAAGAAAGCTCAGTTTGATCCTTCACTGGTACTTTGCTGAACACTGCATGTAACTCATGTGCTTGCTTGCATATTCTTGAGAAGCAAGCACTCTTATAGAGCACTGGGCCACTTGATCCCAGAGCCTGAGATCAGACCCATTATGCCGCTGCCTGCCCTTCTTTCTGGTGGCTCAAACGCATCCAGAGTCTTGTGCCAGGTGCTGGGAAAAGGCAAGAGAATCTGAACGGCCACACATGACCTCGCGGACTCCTTGCAACCAGGTGGGCATGGAGTTTCTGAGGCCAGAGCAGAGCCCAGGGCCTCTGGCTCTTTCCACAACTTCACTGTTGCCCTCTAGAGGAGCTGATAATGTAGAGGAGGAGACGAGAGTCACCTGCCCTGATTCACCCTGCATGCCTAGCTGAGACTTCTGTCACTGGCAACAGGTGAGTGGGAAAGAACCAAGAAACTGTCGATTGGGAAGCTAAGTGGGAGGTTCCAGGAAGGGCAGAGAAAGCAGCAAGTGAAGAACCTGCTAGAGAACTGAAAGGCCCTAGGATTTCATTCAGGGCCCTTCCACTGGTAGGCGAAATTCAGTGTCAGAGATGCAGTGGAAAAGGGAGCAAACGAGAAGCGAAAACACGGAGTCAGAAGCCAGGAGTCAGCGTGTCATCAGGGTAGAAGGGGCAAAGCTGGCTTCTGGCGGGGGAAGCCCTGAGCACTGGGCAAGGCTGAGGGACTCAGGGAGATTCAGAGCAAAGAGGAGGCTCTGTGGTCACCCACCCTGGGCAGTAGTGCTCTGGACAAGGACAGGGGTTCTCAAACTTGAGCCTGCACCAGCCTCACTAGGAAGGCTTGTGAAACCAGAGTCTCTGATTCAGCAGGTCTGGGATGGGACTCAAAATTTTGCATTTCCCACAAGTTCTGAGACAGTGCTAATGGTGCTGCTCCCAAGGCCCCACCACAGGAACCACTGGACTAGGACAAGGGCCTTGGACAGAAGTAGGCCTCTCCGAGAAGTGCTGAGACAGCAGGAAAGACAGGAACACTCTCAAATCCATCCACCCCGTCATCCCCGCGGCTGCTACCTCCTCCTAACAGATCTCCCACCTCCCAGTGCCCCCTCTACCCTACTGCCAGCACAGCTTCCTAACACACACAGCCGGCCACAGCCATCAGAGCACATCCCCAGGGCCTGACAGCGGGCACTGGTCGGGCGCCTCCAAACCCCTACTTGTGCCCTTGGGCAAAGCACCAAACTCTGTGCCCTGTTTCTCTGACAACAAAACAGAGCAGCACCTACCTCAACGGGTATGTGAGGATTATAGGGGCTGGCAGAGCACTTGGAACAGTGTTGCACATTCTAAAGGCTCAATAGCCACGGGCTGATGTCGCTGACTCATTAACCAGCACCAGCCTTGCAGTCCCTCCAAAAACACCGCCCATAGCACAGCTCCACCCCTCTGCTCAAGCCCTAAAGTGCTGTGTAATGCTGCACCCAACACAGCTTTAAAAAGTCCGGCTCCCCACCTCATTCGCTTATCAGTATGGCTCCTGCCCTGCGAACACAGCACGAATAAACCCAGTCATCAGCTCCCAATCTGGTGGAGGGAGGGAGGGCTGACCCTGGCAGACAGCTCAGTGTTGTGACTGAGGTGTATGAGCTAGGTGTAGGAAATACAGGACAAGGAGAGGCCAGAAGGTTTTTCAGAAGCCTTTCTGACCGCCCCCCGCCCCGGCCTTTTTTTCCCAAGAGAAGCCCCTCTAGAGGGACTACCTAGCCAGCTGAGCCTTTCTCTATTACCTGGTGGTCTGCATGTGTCCACATCTGCTCCCCTGCCACACCTCATTACCCACTGTGCCCCTGACCGGCTGCGAGGGATGAAATCTTCACTGTGTCACTCTGCGGGCAGAGGTGCAGCTGGCATGCAGCACATCTCCTGACGCCCGCACCACGGGGCCACAGGTGCTCCTACTCGCAACGGCACACGCATTCCTGGTAAGCTTTAGACGGAAACTGGCCTTCAGGGACCAACAGCGCCCACCTGCTTTGAACAGCCTCTTAGGACTCACAAGACCACCACACCTTCTGGAATCTAACAAATCTGCGAATGTTTCTGATCCCAAGAAGTATCTCACATTTGGGTGTACACCCATGATGCAGCTGTTTTGGGGAAAAGTTATCTACCTCATGGTGTATCTTAGAACTGAGAAGAATCGGGGGCGCCTGGGTGGCTCAGTCGGTTAAGCATCTGCCTTTGGCTCAGGTCATGATCCCAGGGTCCTGGGATAGAGCTCCCGTCAGGCTCCCTAAGCCTGCTTCTCCCCCTTCTTGTGCACACGCTCACGCTCTTTCTGTCAAATAAACAAATTAAAAAAAAAAAAATTAAGAATCTTTGATAAAAATGTCACTGGCAGAGAAGGAGATCCGTCTGTTGAAAAACGGGAAATAGTTTAATGCACAACCGTGGCCTTGCCATAAGCCTCTTGCCTCCTACTTGGTTACTTTTTACGCCTTTAAACATGGTTGTTAAGACCTGTCCTATGACTGTCCCAGAGGCACCCCAACTCCTTGGCCTGCACGCCCTCCCAACTCTCTGAAACCCACCTCCTGCAGCCCTGCAGCCCCAGCAAGACCACCCGGGAGCTCCCCTGGCTCATTCTTACTCTCCACGCCCAAGGCCAGTCCAGCAATCCGTTCCAAATCTGTTTGCTTCGTTTGGGTATAGTAAGAGTTAGTGGTCAGAGGGCACAGGAAGTTGGAAGGCTGGCCTTAGGGAAATCTACCAAAGGGCTGGATGTCACCAGAGAATGGAGGTGGGAAGAAGAGGGCATTCCCAGCAGACCAGTGTGGGTTGCAGGAAAGGAAGCCTTCACAGACTACAGTGTTCCTGATACTGCAGGGGATAGAGGCCACCAGATTAATAAAAAGGCTGACCAAAGCTGAAGCCCAGACATTACTTGTACTATGTGCAGAACACTGCTTTCCAACACAGTTCATTTAACAGTCCCATCACCTGATAAGGGGGAAGGTATTATTAAGGTTACCATTTTATTTATCATTTTCTTTAAAGATCTGAGAGCGCGGGCGCCCGCACGCACACACACACAAGCATGAGGGGCAGAGGGAGACAGAGAAAATCCCAAGCAAACTCCATGCTGAGCAAGAGCCCAACGTGGGGATCAACCTCACAACCCTGAGATCATGACCTGAGCAGAAACAGGAGTCAGACACTTAACCGACTGAGCCACCCAGGCACCTAAGGTTACCATTTTACATGCAAGAGAGCTAAGGATGACCGTTAAGTAACCTGCCCGAAGTCCACGACTACTAAACAGTGGCCTGGATTTAAACCAGGACAGTGTGACAGCAGAACCCACACTATTAAATAAATACCATGCCAGAATCAGATGTATTATAGAAACAATTTGGAAAATGGATGTTTTCCAGGTTTTCAAATTTACTTTGTCCAGAAAGAAAGTCCTTCCAACAATACCATCACTCCATCTCGGTAGATGGCGCCCCTGATCCTTTAGTTTCCAAGGCAAACCCTGTAGTCATTCAGCACGCCATAAGTGCGGTGAGGGCAGGGCACAGTCTACTTTGTACCTAGCTAATGCTGCTCACAAGCACTCATGTTTACCAAGGGAATAAATGACTCGGGAGGTGAGAGTGGGGGTGGTGAATGGTGTCCCTGCCACTAAGAAAAGACCCGGGGTAGAGCATGGCACTGGGAATGGCCACAAAAGTTAGAGGCCAAGAATTCCTAAACTCCTGACAGGAAGGTAAGGACAATTCACACCAAGGTAGCTAGCTAGTCACAGAGCAGGAGTGACGCTGTAAAACTGAATCAGGGAAGGGAGAAAAGAAACAGGTGTTGAGGGTAGACGGTTTTAGTTTTAGAAATGCTGGCTATGAGATACCTAAAGGCAGCTGCAACATTCAGGAGAGAGAACTGGAGTAGAGGTAGAGATTTTAGAATCTGTGTTTAAATTTGGAGAGTCAGGTAGCTTAAGAAGAGCCTATAAAAAGAATAAAAAGTCAGAAACAAAGCTTTGCAAGAATCTGGAGGCATCACTTAGACCAAGCCGTCGTCTCAAGGAGGAAGCAGCAGTCAATAGGCAGGGGAGCTAGAATGAGGCCAGTGAGGCGGCCACAGGAAGCCAGTCACTGGTGACCTAGCAAGTGCAGGCCCAAAGCGATAGGAGTTACTCAAGAAACAAACCGGCTGGGGGGCACCTGGGCGGCTCAGTCGGTGAAGTGTCTGCCTTCGGCTGAGGTCATGGTCCCGGGGTTCTGGGATCGAGCCCTGTATCGGGCTCCCTGCTCAGCAGGGAGCCTGCTTCTCCCCCTCTTGTGTGCATGCGCTCTCTGACAAATAAATAAATCTTAAAAAAAAAAAAAAAAGAAATGAAACGAAACAAGCAAACCGGGTGGGAGTGGGGTGTGCAGAAGGAGAGAAGCTGCCCTAGCTGAAGACTGTGTGGGTGGCGTGAGAGAACAGAAGACAGCAAAGATGAACGGTTGGATCATAACTCACCTCCTAACCCACACCTCAAGGGCAGGACACCCAAGGGTTTCAGAGATCTGTGTTTAGAGATCCTGTCCCGTGTGCTCTGAGGGCCGATGGGAGGCTGAACAAGTCGGAATGCAAACTAAGAGGAAGTAGGGAGACCAAGAGAACCCCAGGCAAGCAGAAAGCTGTGTGGCTCGGAGGAGGTGATGGCAGAGCACTTGGGGGAGGGGGGGAGGGCTAAGAGACCACTGCAGACTGAACGGTCCACTCAATCATTCTGTCCTTGTGAGAGATGGGGTTTTTCCCATGAAGTCATCACAGACACTACAGAGGATGACGCCCACTCTAGCAGGAGTGACATGTCATCACGTATGTGGTGCATGCCTTCAGACACAATGGCTAAAAACAGCTGGGCAGGCAGGAAGCAGGAAGTGCGGGACTGGAGCT